GATCGCTTAAAGAAGTCCAAAGTTGAATCCGGTAAACCGGCCAAAACGCGAGCATCGCAGGGAACGAATCCCATAGGAATAGGTGAAAGAGGATAATAAAAAGTCTACGCTATTCTAAAAATATCCGTATATGCATTTACAACTCATATTAAGCCGCAATTGATGTTCTTTGCACTAGAATGAACAAGCGATGGAGGTATTGCCGCCATTTTTAATTTGGCAATGTCACGTGGTCGCGTGTCGACCAATCAGACGTTTTTCGAGGGTGAAGTGTACACAGCGAACATAAAGATCAGAGAATGCGTCAAGCGGTCGCTTAAAACAAGTTAAAAACAATTGAAAATCATTAAACGTCAGGCCCAAAAAATGGTCGCGGTCGCTTAAAGGAGGTGGTCGTTTACTAGAGGTTCCAACTGTAAGGCTTTGACTGGGAAAATTTTTGTGTTTTTGATTGGCGGTCGCTTATGGGAGGTGGTCGCTTACGAGAGGTGGTCGCACATGGAGGTTCGACTGTAGTACAATATTCATGCGATCAGATCCCCTCTAACAGGACGCTGAAACGGGATTGTCTTCTTTAGAATAAGAGTGTTCTAAGATGAATTTTCCAATATATCTTAATATTATCTAGAGGCTTTTGTTTTGTTTCTTGAAATTAAATCATTGACCCCTATTAAGCTTTACTTAACAATTAAAAGAATGCGCGAGCTTCTAATTGTTTATTATTGCCTAATGTCGTTTATTACTTGCCAGTCTCTCGGGTGACACTCTGGAGTGGTATTGCCCGGGTGAGCACGTGTCGTCCTGATTTTACTGTTGTTAATACTGACTGATGTTAGGTACGTGTGTTTAGACTGACCATATCCGGGGATAAGATTACCTGGAATAGACTCCAAAAATCACTTATTGTTTTGGCTTTAATTGCATGCTAAAATATAGAAATCTGTTGGAAGTAAGTAATTAAGATGAATGTAATATTCCAACGGTCCGAAAGTTCGCGATCAAAGAGATTCAGGATCACAAACTTTTGCTAATTCTTATCCCGGAATACCATCAATCACCAACAGGCCTGTTCATTGCTTCACCCCGGTTTCTTAATTACTTTCTTTATGACCAACAAATCTTTAGAAATTTAACGGTATTTAAAAAAAAAGGAAGTGGGGGTAGCCCCTCGGCACTGTTCTCTGCTAAATCCATTCATGATACGATTCGCACTGAAATGACAAGCTGTCTAGCGGAGTCCAACACTGATCAGCCTATTTTCCACCACGTGGGGATAATGACCATTGATATTGAAGGCAACTCCTTTGTAATATCGATGTGTGGATGCTGTTCGGAAGTATGGTGTTGTTGTGTCATTGCACCAGTTGTCACATTTCTTGAAACAGTTCGTGTAACCCGAAACAAAAAACCCAGAGTAGAATTCCTGATGACAAATCAGCAGTTGATAGGAGTAATTCTTGTTTACTCCCTGTCCGTCCCACAATCCGAAGGTACTTGCTGATTTGGGGTTATAGTTAGATGCCGCTCTTAGAGATGAATGTGAACGTCGTTTGAAGTAAGCTTTGTTACCTTTTTGATGATCGATGAATATTATTTCAGAAAACTTTTAAGAAAAGGAAGAAAAGGAAATATGTAAGTACAACCAAGAAGTTATCACCGTACTTTACTTTCTCCGTTTAGCGTCGTCCGACCGACCCAAATATTTGGCATTTTCAAAGAAAAAAAAAAGTAACGACGTAGTTAAACCATTTTTCACTAGAAATAATTCTTTTAATCTGAAAATTGAGCATAGTAGCAGAATAGAGAAAAACAGGAACAAAAACGAGAACGTTTTTTACAGTATATTGTGCATTTTGTTAATCCAAATATGTAAATGTAAACTTTTAACGTCATCCAGGTAGACCAGGGCCTCCTATTCCGGGACTTTTTATGATTTTTTTTAGGTGTTTTTTTTTGTCCGACCGACCGACCGACCGACCCAATATCACAGGGCCACCCAACGAGAATATAGTTCAAAACCACTTAAACATAGCATTGTTAAACGTATTTTAGTATTTAAACGGTAGATGTAGGCATATTTTTATCCCATCAAAATTTTTCATCTGTTCGGATTTCCTAGCTGAGCGTCTCGAGATCCGAAAATCATAGGGATCAAAACTTACCTTTTCGAAAATTTCAGCCAGAAAAAAGGCTCCCGAAAATTCTAGGTGAGCTTTTTAGGGTAAAAATCCGTTAAAAATGGGCAATTACACCAATTTTTAGATGTTCGAAAATCCTCGGAGAGGTAGGCAAGCAAGAAATTTTACAAAAAATGTTCCGAAAATTCTAGATCTCAAATCGTCTTCCGAACAGATATTTTCCGACAATTGACGTTGGGTGCCCCCGATATCAGGAAACGCGTTCGACGCTAAACGAAAAAAAAAAGGAACGGCCAAAAAAGGATAGCGAGTTGTCCAGATTGTCTCGGTGATTAATGTGAGGGATGTTGCATTCAAGTATAGACGGTCGTGGGCAGAGTGTAGACGTTCTCAGACTCAAGAATCATTCAGCACAATCAGCTCAGAGAAAGGTATAGCCTGCTGGTAGCCTGCGAACGCAGACCTATTTCCGGTCGTCTCGTCTCACCACCCGTTACTTTTCGGATGGAGAGAAGCGACGACCAGTAATACGTCTGTGTTCGGAGAGGGAATCGTTTCTGCTGTTGTTCGCAGTAGCTCAAGTGTGCGAGTTCGAGGAAAAATTTTGGCGGCGGAGCCGCCAATGGGCCGAGGAAAAGTGAGCCTGTACGCAAGCTATTGATTTTTGAATACCCTGCGTTCGCTGACGAACGCAGCGATCTAATTAGTTCAAAGACACAGTCGTCGAAAGGCAACATAAGCATGACAAAAACCATGCACACGCAGCACAAACATTCACACATGAAAATGATAAAAAGCGTCGGTAGTGCACTACTTTTGCCTCAAATGCCGCTGAGTTTAAGTTACAGTTTTCTTTTCCTCGTTGGAAATAATTTGCCCCGAATTCGAACAAGTGAGCCTGCCAAGTGAGCTAAACATACAATTGCTTAAGCTTCCTATTCAAATTAGTTTTAACTAACGCATTAATATGAGTCCAAATGACAAGTACTTATTAATTATGATGTCTACAGAGATCACTTCCAAACAATTTAAGGTTAGATCTATAGACAAATTTACTACAGAAGCAGATTTTTATAGTCAGCTTACTGGGATGTTGTTGCAGTTCGTCCTGTACCCGTCTTTACTATAAGGAAACTGGGGGCGGTAAGCGACTTCCGTTTTGGGTTTGGTGTATTCCTTGGTGGTGTAACACATAGTCCATCCTCCTTCGTATGACGACATGTCACAGTAAGCTTGGAATGCATTGGAATGGTTTCCTCCATCCGGGTCTATCCAGTACACACCATCGCCTTGTGATTTGCCAAACTTCTTGATTTCCTGGCAGCTTTTTTCTGAAAGAAATGGTTGAGTTGCAATTCAAATATCTTTCATAGAAAAGGATTATCACTGCAAAAATAATTTTATACTGAGCGTTCTTGGTTACGGAGACATACCTATTAATTTGAAAAAAAGTGAAAAACGCAAAAATAATCAATTAACGTCTCTGCTGGGATATCTTACCATCTAGTTTTATTGTTTCTTCTCGTCATACAGGTACGTCAAACCTTTTTTGATTAATTTTTTTGCTGTTTTCAATTACGGTCGAACCCCGCTTTGACATACACCCACCTCGTTATTACGGACAGTTGTCTTTGCCCCTGGAGCAAGCCCTTGAATTTTCTCTAAATTCAACCTGCCTGATGCGGACACCAGTTAATGCGGACCACGGACTCTCGTTTATTGCCCAATCAACAGAATCTCATAGAAGTCAACCTCACGAATGCAGACACCTATCAACTGTTTGCTCAGTGTAATAGACCTTTCCATTTTTAAAGTAGGCAAAAAACCTTCAGTTAAAAGTATGTCGAACAGTTCTGAACCTTACAGTTCGCCGCGGAAAGGATGAATTGTAGACGCCAATTTCAGACTATTTTGGCATCAGTCGGATTATGAAGAGAGCGAGTTTTAATGTTTCCATGGATTTAGTTCGGGTAATGAGATATACAACTTGATCCTGCGTTTATTGTGCTCATTACTTTCTTTAGTATTTTACTCCAGTAAAAGGTGTCTTTTTGACTCTAGTAACATGACCTGCTTATACGGACACCCCGTTGATATGGACACTTTCTATGGCTCCTCCAGTGTATACGTATTAACGGGCCTTTGCTGTACCATAGTCATTGAGTGGTCTATTTTTAGTACGTAGGGCAAATGGTGCAAATGCCCGAGAAAGGATGTTCTTCTATTTAATTGGGAGGAGGAAAAAAGGGCAAAAGCCGTCTTTTAGGCACCATTTTTTCTTGAGATTTGTTTTGCAACTTTCCTCTGGAATTCTGATGGTGTAGTTTTTCTTCCAAGAGCGGTTTTAAATCATTTCCGTCTCTTGAAGGACACTTCAACAGTGCCACCCCTCCTTAAAAGTTCGCGAGCGATGAAAATGTTAGAAGAAAGCATTTCAATCTATTTTTTTATTGTCTGGCTTTAGATAAATTAATCACTCAATCATAAGAAATTGACCTCATTCACCTGGTTTTGGGAGGCAAGATTTTCCTTGTGGAGCTGGATAACAGTAACCAGTGGAAGTTTGAGTCTTCTTGTTATGAGAGATATGAAAGCAGGATATCTTGATTGAGAATGTAGTAAAGAAGATCATGATTAATATATTGTTGACATTCGAATCTTTAAAAATCCACACTGAACTTCACATGAAATCTTCATGTGCCATCGTTTTCATTTTCTTCATTTCCTTGCATTTATGATGTGTGTGATTCCATCCACTTGAATATATGTGATTTCACTTTTGTGCAAACCAATCTTAAATGTTTCTTTTTTCACAGTAGCACGTCATACATATACAGTTGACTCCCGATAACTCGAACCCTCGCCCACTCGAACCAAAGTCGATTTCGCCTAGATTTCCTTCTTACATTTACTATAATTTTACCTCCGGTTACTCGAACCCTCGATAACTCGAACCTCCCGCTGACTCGAAGTAATTTTTTTTCCCTTCAGATCATTTGTACACAATTTTACCCTCGATAACTCGAACCATGTTATAAGCGCGTGAAAAGTAGGGAAAAAACCGTGCACTGAAGTCCGAAACATCGAATTTATTTCAAAACAACCAAGTTAATTCTTTGTCTTTACTTTTTGTCACTCCAGTTCAAATTCAGTGTTCATCCCATACTTTGTTGCTTAATTGCATTCCCTCCCCATCCATTTGCTTATTTCCTTACCTTCGGTTATTTGCTTCAAACTCCCGATAACTCGAACTTTTTTCAATTTCAATTGAAGGTTCGAGTTATCGGGAGTCGACTGCATGTAGCAGTGTCAGTTAATGTTTCCAAAATGATGAGTCAGGTGAGTTAGACAAGGTTTGTTTGTTTGAAGCCTCTTAAGTCGATCTAAATTGAAGGAGTTACTCGTTCGACTTTTAAACGTGTTTTTGCTATCACTGCTATCACTGACCTTTACAGAACCATAATAACTAGAAGCTTTTGTCTTCACAAAATCCTCTGGTAAGGTTTCATCTTCCTTGTTTTGTTGTTTAGTTCGCAAATGTGCCTTGTAAAATCGCCATCAGGACGGATATTGAATGACTTGCAACGTTTGTTTGCTGTGCATTTTTGCTGACATTCAAACTCATCAACAACCACAAAAGTTTCCAAAACATGACCAACTAAAGCGTAGCCTGAAACAAAGAACAAATAACCGTTAGAAAAGGATAGGCAAAGTCAATTTAAGTAACCGAAATATGTGGATGGCAAAAAGTTCTTGCAAACAGTTATGGTGTTGCTGGAGTTGATCGCCCCATGTAAGGTAATCCGGAATCCGGAATCCAGGTAATTTTGGTCTGTGGAATCCGGAATCCACGGCTTTGGAATCCGGAATCCAGCTAATGGAATCCGGAATCCAAGCACTGTAATCCAGAATCCAGGTTGCTGGAATCCACTCTGTGGTGATGGTTCCAGGGCCTCTTCTTTTCCTTTAGCGACTGTTGCGTGAAAATCTCATGTCGTAAGGACGCGCAACAGGCATGTTCACTCGTGTTTCCCTCGCAGGAACATCCCTTGTCATTGTGACATATCGGGTATCAATTTGAAACAATGGTCACATTATAATGACGTGACAGAATCCCAGGGAGTGATTCATATTACTGTATATTATCGCTCTTTACAAGACACCCTTTCGACCTTTTTCCCCGTTGCGCTTTTGGAGTCGGAGGTTTAGATTCTTTTCCTGTTTGGGCGCAATTACCCCTAAGTACCCCGCGAAGTACCCCTACCAAGTCCCTATTCCTGACTGCCCACACAACATCAAGTCAGTACGTTCTGCAGAGTTTTGGCATTGGATTGACATTGATGGATACCTAGTGAATGTAAGGCTGCTTTTGGTGCTACGTAGAGAATACGAAGACATCAAGAAATCAGTTTCATTGAAAGCAGTTCGAAACAAAGATCGGATGGATGTAGAAACAGCAGTGGAGATTCACCGGAAAGCGATTCAAGATTCCATTCCAGATGAAAGAGTGAGCACAACATTGGTTCCAGAACTGGAATTCAAGCACTGGAAAAAGAACGGGGCCTCTCTTTTAAGCTACCCGGTAGGATTGGCATTCTCCCCAAAGCATAGCAGGCTGTTTATTACCGATAGACGTCTCCATGCAGTCTTCATGGTTGACATGCACTGTCCAGCAAATGTCACATTAATCGCTGGTGGTGGTGAGCCCAGGCACACTAATGGATATGGCAACAAGGCCAGATTTAGAAACCCAGCTGGTATTGCGGTGAAAGAGAGCGGGCAGCTGTACATTTGTGACCAAGGAAACGGAAGAGTTAGAGTAGTCAATTTGCGAACGCTTTTCTGTCACGCTTCCCAGATTGTACAAGGGAGCGCCGAAGAAAGCCAAAGTGAGGAAGAAGATTGCGCCGGTAGACGTATCCGTAAAGTCCATGTACACGATCTTTCCCTTATTTCTGAAGGTAATGTACCGGATCTGGTGTCACCATTTGCCATATGTGCGTCTGCAAAGGGTAGCGTTGAACTGTTTGTGTCAGACGTTGGTCTTGGCAAGATTTTTTCAATTTCTGGTGTTGTAGACGATGAGGAAACTAACTGCGTCGGCCAGTTAAATGAATTGTTTTGTTTTGATCGATCTAGTTTATTAACTTCATTAGCCTTAACACGTGACGAGCAATACTTGTTAGTTGGAGACGGGAATGGTTCATGTATTCATCTTTGTCAAGTGAGAGGACGATTGAAACTGAGAACAATTTCGAATATTCCAGGCCTCATGGGTATTGCAGTGACAGATGGTGGAACTGTGTTCTTGTCCTCCAGCAAAGAACACGTACTGTTCAGTTTGAAGGAAGAAGAGATGCTTGGGGGTAAAGAAACCCTAACAAAAGTGTGTGGAGAAACTGCAGGCCATCGTGATGGTGTCTAAAGTCGATGGAACAAGCCTACTGCTTTATGCGTATATCGAAACACTGTTTTCGTATGCGATACCGGTAACGTAGCAGTAAGAATGTTGACGTCAGCAAAGGGACTGATCCCCCTGCAAAGTAAGATGGCCCAACATGCAAACGTGTTCCGACTCGACAAGAAAGCCAAAGAAGAAGACCTACCACGTACATTTGAAGATCATGTGAAATCTGTCGAGGAGTTGGTTGCATTTCTCTCTAACCACGAACAGGAAGCCCTGGAGAGGACGAGCAAGCGAAATACCAACGGTCCCGACATGACCATACCTAGATGCAGCCCGACAGTCCTTCCTCATAGTGCTAGAATCGCTGACCAGCCTTACCAACACGCTAACGGAGATTGGACATAGTCACCTTCTGGACAGGATCTGTTTCGAAAGTATGACAACTTTGGGCGTGGAATGCTATTTCAAAGGAATGCGAGCAGACCACGACATGCCTACAGTGGCTAACTACGCTTACAGAAGAGCGCGCTGCGTGGAAGACGATATTTCACTGGGCCCAATTCATATTATCCGGAGAAAATTATCAAAGGTGAACCCCCAAACATCAAGACGCGACCAAACAAGCTGTCAGTAAGGCGAGAAACTGTGATGCGAGAATTTGCTAAGGAGTATGGAAGAGGCGTAAGACAGGAAAATGTCCGCTCAAAAACGAAAGAGCTAACTGGCACCCTTCCTTATGCCCTTAGTATGTGTCCCACATTCATCACAGCCTCATTAGAGGAAAGCGAAGACGTAACAACAGCCTGCCAAGTTGTGGATGCTAATGTGGCATTGCGGAGTACGGCTGTACGGGTGCAAACCATTTACCAGAAAGACGACATATTGGCAGTAAGACACAACCGTAGAAGAGAGATCTCACCCTTCTGGCTAGCAGTTCTTCTGGAGGATGTACAAATAGAAGTGAATGGTGGAAATTTTGTGCAGCAAAGAGTATCCCTAAAGTGGCTAAACCAAACAAGTGATTTGCTAACATACACCTCCGGTGATGTCTGTAATGGGAATTCCCCCAAGTGCATTCTAACCCGAGTACTCGACTTTTCTTCCGATGGATCAGACATCATTTTAACAACAGAGGAGGATAACAGGCTCTGTCGAATTGCTAATGGGGACTACGGTGACGATGATGACAATGAGAATGAAACTGCACCACCAACTGCAGAGGATGAGGGAGAAGTATCCCTCCCGATAAGACTGCCGGGAGTTAGTTTATCAGGACGGAGAACGACACGGTTTATTCTAAGATAAACGTTTCCGTTGCCTGCGTAGCTTGTAGTATAGTAATTGGACTATCTTCACGCTATTTGTTGGTAAGCTGTGACTGAAGTTTTACATTTCTGTGTGGCAATTAAACAATCCGGAGACGAATTATGTTTGAACCTGAAAAGCACTGATTTTGGCAATGTGTACCTCTTTTGTTATTGTTGACGCCGTTGTTATTATTAAAATAAGAATAGCCCTTCCTCGTTAGTATTTCTTCAACGATGTGGACTCAGTGGACTTCAGAAACCGCTCCTATATTCATAATCCTCTCGGGTAAGGCCAAGAATTATATTTTATACTTATATTTTATATAAGACAATGTACACTTTGGGTAAAAAAAGAACAAGCTTTTTTGGTGAAAACAAAGTACAAAGGAAACGTTGAAAACCAGAAAATAGAATTTTGAAATCTGGAATCCAGCCACTTATGGAATCCGGAATCCACGGATGTGGAATCCGGAATCCACAGGCATGGAATCCGGAATCCACAGCGTGGAATCCGGAATCCAAGACTCTCTTGGATTACCTTACATGGGGCGAAGTTGAAATCAATGCCTGTATCAGAAACGCTAGGAAGGCAGGTTTGAATCATGGCATCGCGCCTGATGGCGTCGTTTTATACTGAGCGCATATGGATCTCCAGGCTAATGAGATGGAGAAACAACAGTGACACAGTGGACACTGAATCTGACCCGTTCGTAAGTCTCTAACTCACCATCTTGAACTTCAAAGAAGCTTCCACAGGTTTCCTTGTCGGTGATCGCAGATGTATCTCCTGGAAGTAAGATATAAATCTCAAAAGCACACAAAACCGCAGCCATAGCGATAATCTTATAGTGTTTCTGAAACAGCTAACGTTTTGGAGCGCTAGGTCGTTTTGCACCTAACTGTTTTGTTTTCTTATTATATCAATTTAACCACAGGTTCTTTGGCAAAAAGCGTTTTATATCAACTCTTCCTTGTAATTAAGCCAATCAGGTGAATGTATGTATCAATGTCTGTTTGAACTACCCTTTAAAATTTGCCAGCTGCGGTAGCTTGAGGTAGTTTATCTACGCTGATCTTTTATGAAATAAAGTCCTCTCTTTATGTAGCCAGTTCCTGCAGATAGTATAGATCAAAGTGGCTGTGAGCCACAAAACTAGGAAAAAATTCTGTTGTTAAATAAAATTTATATTAGAGTGATTTTACTTTACCCGTGAAACAGATAATAACTACCAGTGCAAAATAGCTACAAGTCAACAAAAAAGACAATGGAATTAGTGCATAATAGCACGTTGTATTCTACTACCCATGATTTCACGTGTTAAGTAAATTTAGAATTTAAAGCTCATACTTTCATATTTTTTCGTTACCATTTTTTTTTCTTACGTCTATGTTATCCCTTTGACGAAATAATTTTGTTTTTGAAAAATCTATGTATTTTCCTGTAATTCCTGATGATTCACACGATCTTTTGAGATCGTGACACTAGTCGTTCTGTTGTTTTCTACGAAATAATTTTTTGACGTCATAGGTTACGTTTCATCTTTTACATGTTACAGATCATGTCTCTTGAATAAAAGGAGAAAACGCAAAAAGACAGAAAAAAATACTCAGAATGCATTTATAGTTGTATTATCTGTCTTAAAATTTTGTGCTTGGTAACGTACAAAAGGAATGTTTAATTACGCACTATTAGAATCACTGAGAATTTCAGTAGTATTGCCATAGGTAATATCCATGGTATTCTTCGTTTTCACTGTCACGTAATAAACACAGCACAAAAAAATAAACTGGAAACCGTCCAGTGGAAGAAGCTAAGAAATAGAAATGTTATAAAAGACAAATATATAAACAAATTTTCCAAATCTCAGGTCTTTGTTTCTGAGTTATTTGCCGAAACATTTCATGGACCTTTGTAGAGCTTTGTAAGGAGACATCATATTGGCGGACAGAAACTGTCCACCAATATGCATGGCCGCCAGAAATCAACAAAAACACCTGGAGTTATCTTTTTCTATAAAAGCTCCCCCTTTTCACTTGAGAGCTAGCACACGTGCGCGTAAACACATCTTTTAATACTTGAAATGGTTAAACTGCTGAAAATCAGGAGGATGACGTTTTTCAATGAGACAGCATTCCTGTTTTGGTGTCAGGCACTGTGAAAACTCGGAAGTTCAAATTGCTGAATTTTCGAAATTAAACATGCTTCGGGGCTGGAAACTTGTACAAAGATTTACTTTCTATTTATCTTCAACCTAGTGTAAATAAAAATTCGTAAAACCTCGCTTTCTTGACTTTGCAATCTGATAACGTCACTGTGAAAACCATCACTTGCTTTTGAACGATATTGTTAGCAGTGAAATTAATCTTCAGCATGAAAACTTTAAACGGTTGACAAGTACGTTTGGGCATATTTTGAAAAACTGTCGTGAAAGATGGGTAAATACGGTATATCGTCCACGCACACAACCGTAATTAGTCGGTCATGATTGTCCCATGATGTCTTGACAATATGTCGTATTTAACAAATGAATCGTTTCTCCGCCTCCATATATGGACCGAATTTATAACCCGCGCGGTTTAGAGGAAGCATGTAAATCTTCATGAATGGACGGTGAAACTATGTATCGATTTGCGTAAAATCAAAACGTATGAATCGAATCACTGAAAATTTAGTATTGAACGATACTGTAGTGAAAACGATCTTTAGCATAAAAACTTTGGTTACGCTTACAAGTGTATATTTTGAAAAACTGCCCTGAAAAATGGGTAAATGTCGGCCAGGAAGGAGCAGGGGGGGGGGGGTAGCGGAATGCCAAAACACCCGACATAAACCTTCCATTACCAAAAAATAAAGTAAAACTCGTGTAAAATACCAAAATTAAGAAAACCACGGCATACTTTACACCCAAAATTAGCCGTGAGCGAAGTAAGGAGTACGAAGCCTAGCTTTTAGCACTCCAACACCTGTAATGCAACGAGCCATGTTTTGGAGTCGAGACCGGCAATCACTCAGTGAATTAGAAAATTTAACAGACCCAACTTTAAATTAGATAGAAATTTCTTTTTTGTTTCCTATCAATTACTGCTGGTTACAGCTGATAATAGCTGTTTTAACAAAAATGAAAGTCAGTTGATGTGGCCACCCTTCTCCTTCTTTTTTGGGCCTACTAGTCTGTGTACAAACGCCCCTTCTCCCAAAACAAATCGCGGAGAGAGAGATTTTTTTTTTGTGAGGGAAGGGGGCAGCTGTACACAGGCGAGGGCCTACTGAACATGGATTCTCCCTGCTCAGTAATGGAGAACAATGCTGTCCTCTGACGAATGCAAGGATGCATTAAAACTTAAGCAACTTTATTTAATCTCTTTACTGGCAACTTTCGTTATGCTCGTAATTGTAAAAGTCATCCCATCAATCTTTGGAGACCAGTGAGTTCAGCTGTGACAAAGAGAAAAGGATTCCAAGGTCGTGACTGAGCCATTTCATAATTTTCCACCAGTTTGACTAGATAGAATGTACTTGATGGTATATCTGTGGGTCTACGTCTTTGAGTAAATGCCCCTCATGTTCCCTTTAAGTGAATGATATTTTCTATGCTAGTACTTTCACTTTCCTTAGCTTGTGATGAGCATCACCCATGATTAAATTTCGGTCTTTTCGATAAGTCATCGCGCTTGTGGGAGGTAGTCACTGACGTCGAAGGTGGTCGCACTTGAAGGTTCGACTCTACTTTTACCTTGCAATAAAGTTTAACGTTTAACAACATTTAATGGCAGTATTGCAGGATTGTCTTTTACCGAAATACAACGAGTTGTTTTCTGCCGCACACTCCTGCCAATGATTGACGCCTAATGTCAAAGACCTATCAGTTCTAATGCTTTGGTGCTAAGCAACCCTTACAAGGGGTTTGGAATGCATTGCCAATTCGGAACACTTAGTGGTTACGCCTTTTATAATTTAGATAACTGCTTTTAGTAGGTGCCATTAGGATTCGTGAAAGAGCTGAAACATCTGTAATCTCCTAAGTTCCCTTTTACACATTATAAACTTTAAGCTGAAATCCAGCATAGTTGGCGTTGCTGTATTCCCTGCTCGAGAGTCAGAGGCTGCGAACGTTGAGGTGGCTTCCGTATTCCTTGTCGAGGAGAGAGTTCTATTTTGAGCTATTTTGATCCCTTCATCTAATGAACACGCACTGCTTACTCATGAAGAGACTTAGGTGTAAATACCCATGCGTTACGGCTAGTGTCATCAAGACCACCAGCATCATCTGTTGTCCATTTGAACGCACTTTCACAACGCGCTTCCACAAATTATCCAGGAACGTTTTGAGATAAGGCAAACGTATTTGTTATCATCTTCAATCTACCATTATTGGTGTATGTCATAATAAGTGTGTTTGGTCGAACGCTCTTCACAGCAGACAGCAGATGGTCGCCCCGGAAACTATAACTTGTCTTACTCAAGGCATGGCACTCAAAGGCAGTCAAGGGAAAGTCTGAAAAGCTCCAATTGAAATACGGTTCGCTGTCCAGATCTTAAACGAGATTTAATTTCGCGAGGGCGTCCCAATTGACGTCAGCAGCGTGACGTCATCGTAAGCAGAGTGTGATTTGGCTTTGGTCATCATCCTCAGTTGCCTAGCAACAAAGTCGCGATGCATTCCAATGGACGTCACCAGTGTGACGTCAACGAGCATTTTGAGGTTTCCAGGCAACAGTTCCACAGGTTAGAACCGGTTTGCTATCGATAACAAACACCGTGATTATCGTCCGTGAAAAAATGTTTACAATCGGTGAATCACGACCACCCAAGTAAACAAAAGAGAAGAGCAAACGCAATAATAGCAGTAAATCAAAGTCTGCAAAGTTTCAGCTCTGTACTACGGCTAGTCTCCCTCGCAGCCGTACGCAACGCTCCGTTGCGTGACATCCAAAAAACGGCAGCGAGGGAGACTATACTACGGCCCGAAAAATATGATAATTTGCATGCGAACTGCACTGCCGTATTTGTGCGTTTGTTGTTGTTGTTGTTTTTTTCTAAATCCGGAGGCCGATATAATGCTAAATATGTTTTTCAATACACTTTCTAAAAATAACACCACACAGGCGTAAAAAAGAAGACGACGATGTTCGCGGTAGGTCACCCATCCCGTTCATAACCCCGACCGAGAGGGCTCAACTTGAGTGCCGCTACCAACGTCTTTCTAGTAGAGTAGTAGATTAAAGTTGTTTATTCAGAACCCCTTGCAGCTAAGAGCTGGACAACGGGATCGTGCGCAAATTACACATAATTAACACTTATCTTATGACAATTAATCTAAATATTTCACAGATACAAATTCTGACAATGTTTTTGTCTTACACATTTTGTTATTATAGTTCCGGCAGCTGACGAGTACGAGTGAACGGTAGTTACCCTTCCACTAATGGCAAGGCCAAACACAGGGTTGGATGGTTTTAAATTACGCATAAATGATTCGCAAGCAGCTGCCCTACTGTCTTCTAAAGACGGCAGGGCACTTGGTATCAATGCCTCGTCATAATGTAAATTCGGAAGAATTATCCTAAGGGCGCGCTTTTGAATTCCTCAAACGCATCAGACAGATACTTTGGTAGATTCGCGAATACAGCCGAGGCGTATTCAATTACCGATCGTCTAAGGGAGCAATATACTGTGATTAGGTCTGATGTCCAATACCGCGAACGGCAAACCGCGCTTTGTGGCCTTTGTGGTTTCATGTTACCCGTTCATACGCTCAAACTTGAGAGCTATTGCCCTTATCTAGTCGGTATAATCTAAAACCTTTTGTCTTTCCCAAGATAACTGCTCGTATACTATTAAACGTCACTGTCACCACAGCAAGGAGTGATCCGACTACAAACTAGCCTGAGTATCAGGCCTTCCTAAGGGGCTAGGGGAGAGGAGATTTTAGATGGGGGAGGGGGGAGGAGGAGAAGAGAAAGGTTTCTCTCCTTCTGGTCCTTCAGCTCTCTCCCTATTTCGCTTCCATCTTTCCCCTTTTCCCCAGAAACGCCTGATACTCAGGCTGACTGCAAACCAGCTGGACCCCATGAAGCGGAGGAGTCTGGGCATGAGATTGCGGTGCCCTGTGTCGAGCACGAGACCGAGGCTAAGCGAGCCGCCATTTGTATTTCCTTGAATTCTCTTTTGTTTATTTCGTCTTCCAACAAATTGAGTTTGTTGTAGTTTGCCGTGAGGTTCGGCCATCGTTATGGCCATGATACCTGTGGCAGGTGCTTCTGGAAAGAGAAAAGAAATTTATAAATATGACGCGCCTTGGACGATATACGGCATGAACTGGAGCGTGCGGCCTGACAAACGATTTCGACTCGCGTTGGGTAGCTTCGTAGAGGAGTACAATAATAAGGTCTGATACACAACGAATTTGTGTTTATTTTATAAACTTTACTTCCATTTGATCGGATCTTTTCAATTATCGCTGTCTTTAGGTTCAGATTATTTATCTCGACGAGGACACCGGCGACTTTGTGGTGAAAGCGACTTTTGACCATCCATACCCAACAACAAAAATTATTTGGATTCCTGACAGTGTAAGTCGATTGAACTTTTATTTTGATAAATGGTGTCCTAGTCTTAGTTTTCTCTTCAATAATTGTACCGAATTAAACACAGAATCTTGGAAGGTATGTTGCTGCCGATCCAGTGAAAATCTACGACAGAAGTTCAGCGTGCTTTCCTTGTGATCTTAAACAAAAGCTTGATTCTCATCGTAGAAGCTTATTATCAAATGCAAATTATTTTTCATTGCCAGTACGCAATAAAAGCACGACAGTTTTACCTGCTAAACGTTTTTCGTTTGAGGCGACCGCCCATAGAGGTTTTCATTATCTTGTTCATTCATGTTCTGTAAATGGAAGTAAAACGACTCTTTGATTGAAAGCTAAATTGAGCACTTTTGTTTAGACACACAATGAACAAGTTAACAGCTTTTCTATGAATGAAAACGGTATGGTGGCTTTGACAATCAAACATCAATTTTCCTGTATTGCTCATATCAAGCTGTAAATTGTTAATTTGTTGCTTTAATTTTTCTCAGTTTCTCCCCCAAATTATTGTTCGAGTAATGTTTGATATCAGCAAAACTTCACACATAATTATAGCAGCTTGTAAGCTGGCTAGTGCACTAGTCTTATGAAATAGTGCTTTTCAACTTCATTTAACAGTGGCTAAATTTATCATCCAAAACTTTTTGTCATTTCATTCATATTCTCATTTTTAAGTCAATGCCTTTCATGCAGAATGTTTGCACATTATATGTGTACATACAGGAATACATTTACGGGTATGAGAATTGTGGTAGAACTGCACAGTGTATCGTCTCTGTCACTGAGATCCTTGAATTGTAAGTGTAGGGCTGTCCTAACATGAAATAATTTTATGGCTGGCATCTTGTAGAGGCAGCATCTTGAAGTTAGTTTTGAGTAGTAATAATCTATCTTCAGTTTTTTTTTTTACATTTAACACATCTGTAGCTCCAACAGTATTTATATAAAACTGATAAAGCGGCCTTAGTGGAGGATTACAGGGATGTCACTAAGAGCCAGCTGCTGGCTAATTTCATGGAGAGCTTACCACATGCTCGAATCACTGTGGAAAACAAAGACATGGAGTAATTTTAAAGATGCAGTTGAGCAAAATAGTCAGCTTGACTGACAAAAAAGCCTGCTTAGGTTTTCTTTAGCTACATCCCTGGGATTATGTATATAACTGAGAAATAGCTTTCTGAAGCAAATCCTGTGTTCTAATTGTTTACCCATGAAAGCATGTAGGCCTATCTTGCCCACTGATTTCCCCCTATCCTCCCACTAGTAAAAATTTTCTTTTGACCATCTACATGTGATAAAGTCTTAATTGTCCAATCTTTGTTGAGATGGCTATTTATTAGCCTGCACTGCGGATGTAATGTCTGCGAAGCAGCGCCTAATTCCATGTTCTAGGCCGCCAACGAACTCAGCAGATAACTGGAAATGCATTTTGAATTTCCTTTCAACCTGAGTCTCAAATCAACAATGGCTTCTTTAACAAGCTAATCATGGCGGCTACTTAAACCAAGTCCATAGGTGAGGGCCTAGAACAAGGATGTCGGTGCTGTTTCGCAGACGGACTTTGTTTTGTCTGCAGAGCAGGCTAGCTATTTATTGGCCTCATTCTTTTTTACCCTTTATATGGACTATCACTTTGCCTTAGTCGTTCAAGGGTAAACAGCCTACATGTACATGTACTTGGCTTGGTGCTTGTTGAACAACAGATACGTGTGTACAAACAACTGTACACTGTATGATATACATGTATTTACCAGAATTTACACTTGATTCTCAACAGAAAGGTGTATATCCTGATTTAGTGGCAACTTCAGGTGATTACCTCAGGGTATGGAGAGTTAGTGACTCAGATGTGCGTCTTGAGTGTCTCCTTAATAATGTAAGTTAACAAAAATGTTTTAGTACTATCATACGTGCACAGGAGCAACAGTGTGTTAAACTTAATCAGCTTACAGCTGTACAAGTACATGGCAGGCCACAACGGGGCTAGAAAAAAATGTGAATTTTATCTTGTCCTTTAGGCAAGCAGTTCTAACTTTTGTTTGCTCATGGCCTCTTCTTGCTTAGACCCTTGTCCATTGGACAAATGAGTTATTAAAAGTAACTTGCCCAACAAGAAAATCTACTTGTCCCGCACTACTGGGCAGGACTTTCTTCAAGCTCTATCACATATATAAGCACAAATAGTTGTCAATATTCCTTAATATTAGTTATTCTGCCTTTAAATGTGTCTGAAAATGAACTGCTAGGTTCTCCTGTTATTTGCTAGTAAATCAAAAGGGGAATTTTAAACTACATCAAGAGTATTTGATGCACCCCAGTAAGTGAAGTGCCACAAAATTGCAGATTTGTGTGTCATACAGTTAATGATCTTGTTTTATTTAATTTTTTTATGCAAAAGCCATCGCTGTACACTGTAATTTCTTACATTTGCCTTCAGTGTGTGTGTACATTTTGTACTTCTTTTTGTTACACAGAATAAGAACTCTGACTTTTGTGCTCCTTTGACATCTTTTGACTGGAATGAAGTGGATCCAAATCTACTAGGAACGTCAAGCATTGATACAACATGCACGATATGGGGACTAGAGGTAATGATCATAGCATTTCTACATGAGTTATCATAGTCCTGTATTATAACTACTGTAGAGATGAACCTGTCCACAATGGACGACTTGTGGCAGAGGCATTTTAAACATAGGTGAATGTACATGTTCTTCTGAGACAAACAGAAGTGTCTACTCTGGATGTGGCACATTGTACATACCGTAAAATTCCGAAAATAAGCCCCTCCAAATATAAGCCCCCAAAACTGGTAACCCAAAAACCCCTCCGTTAAATCGCCCCTCCAAATATAAGCCCCAGGGGCTTGTACTTGGAAAATTGCCCTCAAATACAAAGTAAAACAAAGCAAAAATGGTAAGTTTAATTCAACTATACGGCTAGCCCAATTGATTTTGAAACGCAAATTTCCTTCCGTAGATAAGCCCCTCCAAAAATAAGCCCCTCAAAAAGGGCCTTTGAAAAATATAAGCCCCGGGGCTTATTTTCAGAATTTTACAGTAACTTCCCAATTGCTGTTAGTAGAGGTTTGACCAGTAGAACTCCCCTTACATTGCACAGCTTTACACCATTACAGTGTATTCCTACCAGATGGTGGACACAGTGAATCACCTGTGCTCAGCCACATACACGTACACGTACACGAACATGTAACATTGATGTAAAAAACACAACACCACTTACAAACTTACCTTATACTTGTATATACATGTATAAGCGTAAATGTATGTGTACTGCATAGCATAAGTGTGATCTTTGTCTTTTGGCTGACTGCATAATTATAGTTTTCACCGAACAAAACTTTGAAGATGATTAATTCTGGAATATGCATACATGTAAATGGATCCATATTATTTACATTTTATTTTTATAGACTGGTCAAGTTCTTGGCAGGGTAAACATGGTGTCAGGACATGTAAAAACACAGCTCATTGCTCATGACAAAGAAGTAAGTAAACTGTAACAAATTACCTTTGCATTTCACTCTTGTTGGAAGTTGGGAAAAGTTTTATAGATAATGATAGTTCCTCATGATAATAATGGCCACAGTGGAGTGGTAGCTTTGTAATGTGAACTGCTTGTTGATTTTTGTCTGTGTGTATTTTAGGTATATGATATTGCATTTAGTCGTGCTGGTGGTGGAAGGGACATGTTTGCTTCAGTAGGAGCTGATGGTTCTGTGAGGATGTTTGATCTCAGGTGATATACATTTACTAAAAAATTACAGGTCTTATTATGTGCAGTAACCTAACCTGGGAGCAGGACCGCATAAGAGAGAGCACATGAGTGCTAATATTAGGCCTGAGACAAGGTGTGCCGCTATGGCCAGATTCTGGCCATAATGCTGAGTGCCTGTGAGTACAGTGCAACAGGATGTGTTTGGGTATTCTTCTCCTCCAACAAGGATTTACAGAAATTTATTTTTTGAATGTTTCTTCCTCTGTTTTTTTAATTCCTTTTTGGAGATGATAGTAGGGGTATGGGTAAGAGGGTAATGCACTGTCCATTTTTGTGTACTGTACAATGTGAGTGCTCACCAACCCACCATGGTTCAGCTGTAGCCTGTTGTCTTACAAAGCACCCAAAGACCTTTTCTGCTCCTTGATCTGCATGTACCAACTGAAGGTTAATCTTAACACGATTGCAAAAAAACATTTGTCTCGTCTACAGTACATGCAACTATTACAATGTGGCATCAAATTATTATTTCCTTCATGTACAGACATTTAGAACATTCTACAATAATCTATGAGGATCCACAGCACAGTCCCCTGCTGAGGTTGTCATGGAACAAACAGGATCCTAACTACCTAGCAACATTCTCTTTGGATGCAATGGAGGTTTGTTGAAACTTACATGGTAAAAAACATAAAATAATTGTAAATATATGAACAGTCCAGAATATCCCTAAATTTAAGGACAGGGCCAAATGGTCACACAACACTTTTCAACCAATGAGAAGGCGCACTTGTGTTTATCAATAAACAAATCAAAACATCGCCCCAGTGATCAAAAATTTTCAAAACAATGGACAGAGTCGGACAGAATTAACGATGAGCTTACAGTACTCGTCTAGGTTTCACATTTAATATTTCAAAGAAAACATTTCATGTAAGAGAATAAGAGCTTTAATCATTGCAAGGAATCGTTGGGGTGTTCGAAATGATTCCAGACCGATCGAAGAGGTTGTGGCTTCACTGGCATATATTCACGTCCAAGATCTCGCCTCACTTTGCCGAATTTTCGGGCATGAAATTGAAGATCATAAGCGCAAGGTAGATACTAACCACTTTGTTTCTGAAATTCACTAATCTGAAAAGATTTATGTTGTTGGATTCTCCAAATGTTCATCCACCGTTAAAAAAAAATCAAAGAAAGAAGGCAAATCTCAATTGTAAATGATGTATTTCGCTACTCATTGAACGTGTTATGATGACTGGTTCTTTGATTCTTGTCCCGTAGAAGTTAATAGGTAGTACCAATCCTGTTTTGTACGATCTCAACAAATTTTCACACTCTAAGGCCATCTTTACACGGGACCAGTTTTTCTTCTATCAAAAATCTTGCAAGCCATGCCAGTGAAGCCACGACCTCTTCGATCGGTCCGGAATCAGTTCGAACACCCCAATGATTCCTTGCAATGATTAAAGCTCGTATTCTCTTACATGAAATGTTTTCTTTGAAATATTAAATGTGAAACCTAGACGAGTACTGTAAGCTCATCGTTAATTCTGTCCGACTCCGTCCATTGTTTTGAAAATTTTTTATCACTGGAGCGATGTTTTCATTTGTTTGTTGATGAACACAAGCGGGCCTCCTCATTGGTTGAAAAGTGTCGCGTGACCAGTTGGCCCTGTCCTTAAATTTAGGGATATTCCGGACTAATGAAAACCATATAATTATGTGAACTATGGAGTGAAGAATTATGTGAAGGAAGATCATTGCAGTTATATAAGCAACTTTTGTTGTTGCAAAAAGAAAGCCTGAAAAAAAAAATTTAGGCTTGTACCACTACAGGATTTGATCCTTTTACCTCTGTGACACCGGTGCAGCACTCTACCAATTAAGCTAACAAGCCAACTGGGAGCAGGATGTTGAATTGGTTTGTTATAAACCTGTGAAAGGATGATGATGAAGTTTTGAATATGTGAAAATCATATATGTGAACTGCAGAGTGAAGAATTATATGAGATTGCATATATAACTGCGATGATCTTCCTTCACATAATTTGTAAAAATTTAATTTGTCTACACCACTGTGGCCTGGGTTCGAATCCAGTGTCAACGCCATACAGTGTATGGGGGTTGAGGTTGTGGTTGGTTCTTTTCACTTTTCCCCTCTCCTCCAAACCAACAATTCCAAAATTAAATTTCAATTCGATCTCATGTGTTCCAGATCAAATTGAAATTTAATTTTGGAATTTTTGGCTTGGAGGAGAGGGGAAAAGTGAAAAGAACCAACCACAACCTTAACCCCCGTACACTGTATGGCATTGACACTGGATTCAAACCCAGGCCACAGTGGTGGGAGATAAGTGCTCTCACCACTGCAGCACCCCTGCTCTCCTGTACAGCTGTACACATGTATTATGACAAGTTCTCCCGTAGCCCGCTACTTGTAGTTGCTGTACATATGTACATGTTGTTACTGCTTTGTCGGTATACATAAACCACCTCACTGCTCACAGGTTGTTCTTTCTTTTTATGCCTGTTTGGTGATTAGAAAAATGACTGAAAAAGACCTAAATACCATTTTGTGCAAAAAATTTCAGTAGCAATTTTGCTCAAGTAGAACTAAAATGCCTTTAGCAAATATGCCTGTTAGCCTAGTGCTTAACAAGTAGAGTGTTTAATGCAGCTATGGCCTCTTTGTTTAAGTCAAATGTGGAAAGCTGGCTTGTTCTCAGGAAGTAAAAAATGTTGTGTTCATGAAATCTAGATTCTTGCTGTCAGGTGTGTTTCAGTTTTGTCCTTTTTTGAATTTTACAGTATTTTCATTAGTTTTTGATCATGGTAATACATGTACATAATACTGATGAGTTTGAAACAAAAGAATATAAACCAACGAACAAATTGAACCAAAAGATATACATGTACATGTGGTATTTTACAGTGAGAACGCTTGACATCAGGTATGCATGTGATGTACAATTATACATACAAATTATTTCCTTCTTTTTATGGTATATCCAGGTGATAATATTAGATGTCAGAGTACCATGCACTCCTGTAGCAAGATTAAATAATCACAGAGCTTGTGTCAATGGAATTGCATGGGCGCCACATTCATCTTGTCACATTTGTACTGCAGGTTAGTTCAATTTCTGAACATATTTTTGTGTACAGTGTAGCTAATATTACATACATACAAAGCTAAAGAATGAACAATGAGTAGGCACTATAGTCAGGAGCAAAAGTGTGCCAGCCATTTTGTCCCTGTCCATGTGCATTTCTGCTTAGTTGTTTTTGTTTCTTTTGCACTTGCCTGCATGATCAATCTGACACCTCGTATACATGTAATTATCCCCAACGAGTTCAACAATACAGCTACACGTTTAAATTTGTATTTTGAGCCTTCAAAGTGTTAGTGAAGTGACAACTGCATGACAATAATTAATACATGTGTATGACTGTGTTTGAAGCGATTTAAGCCCAGTCTGTGTGAGACTATCAGTTCGGAATAAACCTCGTGTATAACGAGTGATCATTTGTTCAGGGCACGGTGAATAAAAATAGTAACGATGATTGTAGCTGTACATACATGCACATGACAAGTTGTGAAGACATAGCACATTATTAGATTTGTTGAAATGCTTTAAAGATCAGGAAAGACAAGAAATGTCATTAGGTCATTAGGTCGCACACAAAGTCCAAACTGATGGTTGCACTTGCGGAAGTCAAGGAAAAGTACATGTGTGAGTCAGAATGGAGCTTGTCATGCCATCACACAAGTTGTCAATTGGTTGTTAACAAGCCATGCCTCAGGTTGCTATGTCATAGATCCAACCTGAAAATTATGACCACACACTGGGCTTGTGGAGTACTATAATTACATGTAGATGAAGGACCCTTTTTCAAATGGATTTCATCTGGAATAATTTGGCACTAAGGAAATATGGAATATACACCCCTGTACATGCAACTGTTTCACCACAATCACCTGTATCCCAATATGGCCTGATGCAAGCGCAGTACAGCTCAACAGGAAGGGAGCGCTCGTACATGTACGGTGTAAAACGTTTTGAACGCTTTTTGATAATGTCCTCGATTCTTAAGTTTCTCTGCACATCGTTTAGAGTACAGTAGCTGCATCCATCGATGCACTGTTTATCCCAATTCATTCTAAGTACATTTAAGAATTTGTTCATGCTTAGCGTGCGTATATCGAGTTATGGATGCACGCGGGAAGTTTGGAGAGCACGAAAGATGCGTAAGAGTTGCACGAGACGATAGCCGAGTGCAACTCTAGCTTCTTGAGTGCTCTCCAAACTTCCCAAGTGCATCCATAACTCGATATACGCACAGCTAAAAGCATGAGCAAATTCTTTTATAACATAGCTGACAAAAATGCTTGCTTTTTGATTAACTGCAAAATTCTCGTAACGTGCGACACAATAACAAACGCTTCTATTGGCTGATTACGAACACGCCACAATCGTCTTGTTTGAATGAAAATATTCTTTCTGTAAAACTGAGAAAGAAAATTTGTTTCTTTATTCGTTAACGATCAATGGAAACTGTACAGAAACAAAGGTAAAAGAGTCTTAAAGTTCACCTAAAGTTAAAATCCTCCGTGACATGTTCATGAGAAGTCGTGGAGTATGGTTTGGATTTGCTGAAAACATGTTTATGTTTTGCTTGGCGAAATTCAGAAAACATGTTTTTAGCGAAGACGATTGTCATCCTTCTTTAAACTTACATTCATTTACGAACATTGGCTGGTCATTACAACTTCTTGAGAAGACCTGGCAGCGGTTGTTTTTGTGAGTAATAAATTTATGTCTTCTTGTGTACATTTGTGTTGTTATTGCGAGAGAAATTTTCCTGCTTCAGTCGGATTGTACGGAGATAACAATAGTGCAAAACAAATTTAAAAACAACAATAAAAACAGAAATTTTAGCTTTAAATGTTGTTGATGACCAGTTGGTGTCTGTTCTGTTCCCAGTGAATGTCTTTCGTCCAAAATTTCCTGCAGCTGGTCTTCCGACAAATTTGTGAAAAGCGCAACTTGCGAGTTTTTTTCAATTCGGCTTTATTTTTGCTGCTTGTTGGATCAGGACCTAAAAGGTCAATGCCGATAGAAAAATTGAGCAGTTCTTCGCTGGTTTCTTCCATATTTTACAGAGAAGGAACACTGCACTGTAGCTTAAAAGACGACAACTTTGCAGCCAGGTAAAAAAAAATGCTCACGTCATCTTATTTACGCACGAGCGTGCGTAAATAAAGATTTTGTTCATAGCGGCTCAATAGGACTTATATAGGGCAAGCACGCGCGTGTTATAATGAACATTTAATAATTCACTCAAGAAGCACAGGTTTTAATGGAAGCATATGCACGTATTTCTTTAGTGTTCTATACTGAAGGATTCATCACTCATTCTTAAAGGGTGAATGAGAGGAGAGTTTCTCAAAACCACCTTTATGCCATCTGTTTTTTTTTTTCTTTCAAACCGTTTCTCACAGATGTTGGTCCTTAAGATGAACTCAATGAGCTTAACGACTTGCCTCTTTGGAGTCTCTTTTTTTTTCACAATGTAGGCAATATGAATAAACAAAAATTCATAAAAGAGGTACAAGGTATACATGTGGTTCCATGTGTAACCCCAGTACTTGTAATACATGCTTACAGTCTTTATTGTATTCGGCAATTTGCGTCATTTTCTTTCCATGGAATACAAAAACTAGAGACTCAGACGGTAATGACGGAGAAAATCTTATCGGCTTTGAAGCTCGATGAAACATTATGATCAATCCGATCAACCCAATACATTGTGGTTAAATTCGCAGTGATGGCAAGGTTCAACTCACACCCTGTTTCCCTTCTGAATTACCCGCAAGAACCATGGTACATGTAAAATGAGACCCTTTCATAAGGGGCCAGACTGAAGAGGGCAATCTGATTACTCGGTAGCGCAACAGCCAGGACGAAAGCATTCCTGAGTTTATACCAACAGTGGGCGTCAGAGATGAGTCAGACGTTGTATATTGTATGCAGGCGACAACTTTGGCAATTTGGTCACAGGAACTTGTTCATTTGTTTTTTTCTGCTCATTTATTAATTATTAATCACAAAGTTATGCCTTTATTTATGTTTTGTTGATGAATTTGTTTTGCAGGAGATGATCACCAAGCCCTGATCTGGGACATACAACAAATGCCTCGAGCCATTGAGGATCCGATCCTAGCTTACACAGCTGATGGAGAAATCAACCAAATTCAATGGGCAAGCACCCAGCCGGACTGGATTGGCATCTGTTATAACAATAACTTGGAGATTCTTAGAGTATAGTTTAAAACGTCTTTTAGAGCTATTTATACATGTTTGTACGTACATGTAGTTGGCCCCTGGTTATAAGAAGGAGAGGCGCTGTTATTATTTTTCTAGTACTACTATGTAGTTTCTAGCGGTCCCTTGCTATGTGGCATCCTCTGGCTTGTGTATGATGGGTCATGTTAACCACTCCCCATTACAGAAGAGGCAGCGTTGTCTTGTTAGTGTTCATGTACAGTCGACTTCCCATAACTGGAACCTTCAAGGGAAACTGAAAAAAGCCCGAGCCATCTAGAGTTCGAGTTATCCGGAGCTCGAAGAAAATAGCCGGAAATAAGGGAAAAAACGGTTTTTACTGCACAGTGAACATTTTAAGCACATTTAATTGTAGAAATGTTAAGTGAAAATTGAAAGATACTTCTAGATTGTACATGTAAACCAGAACGTAACCTAACAAAACATTACCTAAATAAAGCATACGTCTTACTACTTTGAGAAGTAAAGCTGTTAGATTTGTGACAAACAACATCGGCCTCCTCTAGTAAACTATATGCCTACAACGCGTCAATGGGAAATTCAAAATTCAATGTTTCGGACGCTAGTAGACTGTTTTTTTCTCGCGACTTCTTAAGGGCTCAAAATATGGGAAACGAAAACTATTTCGATTTAGCGGGAGGTTCGACTTATCGAGGCTTCGAGTTACCGAGGGTCAAATTACATTAAATGTATGACGGAAATCCAGGGGAGATCGATTTTGGTTCGAGTTAGCGAGGGTTTAAGTTATCGGGAGTCAACTGTATTTTAAAAGTAAAATTTTTAGTCCTTTGGAGCCAAAGCAGCAAACATATATACCATTAAGTACCGAACTTTGTAAACTTGTCTTTTGTTGTTGTTTATTAAATTGTTATTATTATTATTATTATTATTATTATAAAATTATTATTATTACTATTATTTTGGGCACACTACATGTAAATTCTCTTTTTCTATTATTTTTAGTGTCCATAATTTAACAGTACAGCCATGCCTTCTTAATACAGATACCGAGATGACAGAGCTAAGTGTCCGTATTATTTAAGATAGGAATTCTAGTAAGTTATACAAGTTAGGAACCAAAAGAACTGCCGTTAACACTGAGGTGTTCATGTTATAGACTGCTGACGTTATTATGTGTGGGCATGTGGACGATTTGACAACTAATAGTTTACAGTGAAGGGGATATTTAGATCGTTATTGGAACGTATAAGTCATGTCAATGTGATTGTAATGTGCAGCGAGCAAGGCTACTTGTTGTTTATTTATGTAGCTGTATATAGAAGATTGTTCCTAGCTAAAATTCACTGAATAGTATTCAACATAAACTAGACAGGATCAGAGCAGACTACGTTCAGTAAAGGGTCGATATCCATCCCTCTCAAAGCTGCCTAAAAGTACGGATATACTACTTCTGCACGAATGCTTGTGCTAGTTTGAAAGAATAATGAACTGCATTGTACCATAATAAGACACGACCGTGAAATATAGAGTATAAATCAGGAACGTTTCAAGTCTGCCTCAATCTGTCTTAAGAGTCAAAGGTCTAAAGGTGGTACACAAAACACTAGATAATTTGTAGAATAAACGTTTCCTTGTAAAATACGGTTTTGGACCTGTTTTGTCCTAAGAATTAAAGTGGTTCATGGCTTCGTAATAGATTTTGAGAAAAGTAGGTTTAATAAACATAGATTTGTACAATAGTAGCTCGCAAGTAGCTGTCCGAGAGTTCTCCACATGTTAAATTTCTTATGTCAAGACAAAATTCACAATAAAGTGTTATTGCCCCTTTGAACGTTTTAATTGTGTCTTGAGTTTTATAACCTGTATAATTTTACCCTGTTAAAGTCAGAGTGGCGGAGTCGGGGTGGATTGGATGGGCTAGAGAAAGCTACAGTCTTAGACAAAAGTAGTTGGTCCACTTCCTCCCAACACTGATTTTTTACTTTTTTCCCCGTCTCCTCGTCCTCCCAATGTTGTTTATCACAGTTACCTCACCAAATCTTGCACACCAACATTGGGAGGGCAAAAAGACAGAAAAGTATCCCAACAATTTTGACTGAGACTGTAGGTGCCCAAGGCGTTCAACCGCAAGAGAACGTAACCACATTTCTAAATCTATTTTGGGTGCCGATTACATCTAGTTGGCCACCAAAGGAAAAAAAATACGTCTATCCGACCGTGTGCGACGAAGTCAGCTCCCGCCGGCCCTTGGTGATATTGTTGTTCAAAGTAGACGCCAAGATGAAATGTTTAGAACATTCTGCATCATTCTAGAAATTAAAACCATTTCATCACAACGTCGAGACAGTCGAAATTCACGTATCTATACTTTGCTCCGGGGCTTTAAGGAATAAAACAAAAGAAGTGAATTTACCCTATACCTACAAGGGATTTCCCTTGTTTTATTCCCCAAGTCTCAGAGCCAAGAATAAATTTTTAATGTATCAAAATTGCCTATTCGAATACCTTACAGCCAGCGGTTGTGCAAAAGTTGGATAGCGCTGTCCACCGGATAAATCCCTACCTGTTGGATAAGTATTACGAAACTAATTGCGCTATCCACTGGATGGCGCTATCAACCGTTTGAACAACTGGGGCTCGATGGACAGATAAAGACGCAATTTGTGCAGTTGCTAAAAGAAAGCCTGGGGAATTCTGGCTTTCCAGTTCGAACCCTGACCTCTGTGATACTGGTGCAGCGCTCTAACCAATTGGGCAAGCAAGCCAAGCTAGTATGTAGTTGGTCATTCAATTTATCATTATTTGCCATCAAAGATAAAAGTGACGGATATATTATCTCAATCGCGGAATGAAAGTAATGCTAAATGTAGAGCACATTGGAGTTAAAGACGCCAAACAGTTAGGTATGCTGCCAAATATGAAGGTTGCTCATTTAAATTTCTAACTTATCTTAACCAATGAAACGTTGTTACCAAAGTGTCTGCAAATGTACCACCCGCAACATGAAATCATTGCGCTAAGAGAGTTCAGGTTTTCAGCTGTCAGATTATTAAATTATGTATACAAGCGTACCTGTTTTTGAAAACACTCATTTTAGATGACTCGGTCTTCTTTTCTCAATCGGCAGAAAACCTTTCAGGTGTCCAGATTCTCTGGAATGGGGATTACGTGAATGCTACAGCTTCAGAAATCGATTCCGAAACGATGTTGATCCGATTCGTTTTTCCTTGACATTTGCTCACTTAAGAAAGATGCAGTTTTAATGACCTCAAACGAATATTGTGATTATAAGAATAATCATTTGAACCACCTACAACTCCTTACGTACCAAATTTCTGCGTCGTTTTGTCTTACCAGCCATCTTTCTAATTTTTCTCTGAGCTCCAAATGGTGAATTCAGTCGTCGAGTGCAACTTGCGGTAAAACAAAAAATCAGAGGGAAAGACAAGAGTCGTTAACCGCAAATTTTCTTCGCCTAAACCTTTGAGGAAAAACTTCAGGTCCTTTGTAAACGTGTAAAAGGAAGCCTGGAATTATTCGTGCTTCTGCGCTCTTCTGAGAAATGTCGAAATCAGTTAGATTCGCTGATCAAGGTGTAATAAAAGACTATGCGGAATCTGTAGCCACGGATATACTTCAGGAAAGACAGAAACGGAAGTTCCAAAATAGCAAAGCTGGGAAAGGAAAAGGGAAGAAGCGCCGTCGTTCTAGCACTGTCCAACACATGGCAGGTAAAAATGGTGCCAAAATAGCGGGCTTTAACAAAGGCTTACTTTCAGAATTCATCATCTTTCTACTACTACAGGGTTTTGACTTGATCAGTAACATTTGGGTCTTGAGCGAGTCAGTTGGAGTTCAATCTAGAGCGAAAACGTACGAAGTTTACACAAACGTAACATCACTAAACTATTCCGTTCCAGATTTTTGTGTCGATGTACAATGGTCGAAAGAAAAGATGACACAAGAGATTGACCATTTCTCTTCGGTAATTTACGTTTATTCATTTTTCCTTGCGGTTTCAGTGTGTATCTTTACTTTGCACTTATTGGCTTGGTTGTATACCCTCCAGCGTTCACTTAGAAGTCGACGATTTAACGCAGATACCCAAGAAACTTTAATCAGAATGAAGGTGTATTTTCTTATCGCCGCTAGCCTGCTGCAAGACATTCCACTCTCTGCAATCTCTGCTGAGCTGTTTTCTGTGCAGCAAGGTGGACAAGGCTTGGTATGCTGGAGTTGCAAAGTGTCAGGGTCATGCCAAGATGTTAAGCAGCTGGAAGCTAGGCTAAACAGGAGTACCGTTGCTATGTGGCTTAACTTGGCAGCCATCGGTCTCACGTCTCTTTGGAAAGGCATCTCAAGTTTCTATCGATGGAGTCGAGTGGATTATTGCGAGGCGTTCTATTTCAGAGCTTGTACAGCCGTGTTTGCTGGTGGTCTTTTCTTCATTGTCATCCTAACACCAGCTATGACAGTTCTCCAATACCGCTATTTTATTAAACCAGACGTAAGTGGGGGATTGCTGAAGGATATCATCGATCGCGTGTATATTATCGGTGCCATATTTTGGGTCTTGGTTCTTGCTGTAATTTTTTGCTGTCCTTTGCTGAATTTAATACGGGTGACGCAGTAACCACGACAATGACATGTAAGCTTGTCTCTGGTGTTTCAATGAGACTTCTTGAAGTCGACCTCTTCTCTGGAAATCAATTCAGTCACTTACCCGTAACAGGCGGACGTCGCAAAAACAAGGTTAATGAAAAAAAAAACCTAATTGGAGGAACACAATTACCGAGTATCATCAGTATTACTTGAGTATCATCGGCTCAACTACCCCTAAGTCCTGTGATTTAGATCCTGTTCCTGGTCATGTACTTAAATGTCTGTTTCCTTCTATTCTCCCAGTAACACACAAGATTGTCAACCTTTCCTTGGAAACTGGTCGGATACCTGGAATACTTCAACAAGCTATACTTAAGCCATTGCTCAAAAAGCCCTCTCTGGATTCGAATGACTTCAAGAACTATAGGCCTATTTCTAATCTTCGTTTCATATCCAAAACTATTGAAAAATGTGTTGCTAAACAGCTGATTCAATACTTAGATATGAACGACCTTGGTGAAACATATCAGTCGGCCTATAAGAGAAACCATAGTACAGAGAAGGCTCTTATTAGAGTCCACAATGACATAGCCATGGCAATGGATCAACACAATTCAGTTATCCTAGTACTTCTCGATCTTTCGGCTGCATTTGAAACTGTTGATCATGGTATCCTCCTTTCGCGACTGTAAAATCGCTTTGGAATTACTGGAACTGTATTGGAATGGTTTCGATAATATCTTTCTGATCGTACACAGTTTGTGCAGGTTAATGGTGCGTGCTCTGCTTCTCATGTCCTTGAGTTTGGTGTACCGCAAGGATCCGTTCTTGGCCCGTTGTTATATTCAATGCACACATCCCCTCTTGGCGAGATTGCTCAATGTCATCAAATGTTCTATCACTTTTATGCTGATGACACTCAGCTATATATTACGTTCAGGACGTCTTCTGTTTCTGATATGAATCTGAGTAACGCCAAATTGGTAAACTGTGTTCGGGACATGGACGCATGGATGCTTTCCAACAAGCTGAAATTAAATAAAGACATGTCCGAAGTTCTCGGAATATCCTCATCCTATCAACCTCGGCCACCACTATCTTCTGTTGATATATGTAATGAGACTGTATCCTGCTCCCTCAGTCCCTTTGTATGGTACCTCATATCAATGCAGTCTGTCAATGGTCCTTTTTCCATCTTCGTAACATTGGTTTCATGCGCAAATATCTTACTTATGATGCTGCAAGGATCATTATTCATGCCTTCATAGTTTGTAAACTTGATTATTGTAATTCTTTATTGTACGACCTACCATCCTATCTTATTCGGAAGCTTCAACATGTTCAAAATTCTGCCGCTTGCCTTGTCAACCAGTGTCCAAGATTTTGCCATATTACTCCAGTCCTGAGGGATCTTCACTGGCTCCCTTTCTCCTTTCGTATTGAATTTAAAATTATGTTAATTACTTACAAAGTACTACATGATCGAGCTGCAATCTATATACAGGAACTCCTTCAATTGTATACACCCAGCCGCAATCTTAGATCCTCTAACAGAAATTTATTAGTGAAACCCTATTTTAATCTCAATTCGTATGGTAAACGAGCTTTTTCTGTTGCTGTTCCGGAACTTTGAAGAACTTACCTGAGGGTATTAAATCTGCAAACTCAATTGACGATTTTAAACGCAAACTTAAAACATTTCTTTTTATGCGAACTTATGAATCGTGATGTTTTTATTTGTTATCTGATTTTTTATCTATTGTGTACATTTATCTATTTTGTAGTGAGCGTCTAGTTTTAATGTCAATTTCTTGTGATTATTTTTTACTTTTTAGTTCTACCTAATTTTTTGTAAACAGCGCCTTTGAATCTTGTAGAAAAGGCGCCATATAAATGGATTATTATTATTATTATTATTATTGCTGCGGAGAGACCGAAGGGAGCGAGCAGCAACATAATCAGGATTTAAAGGAAATATATAAGGGACGACGAATTCTCGAATTCATCACTTTTTACCACAATGCATTGCATTTAACCACACTTTTAACCACAATGCATTGCATTTAACCAGAGTAGAGTGCATTGCGCCACGAACAACTCCGAAGTTAGAGTTTTCTTTGTGGCAAATTTTCTACAGCACGGTTAGAGGTCTTACCAAATTTTAAGACACGCAGGAGTCTTTCAGATGAGTACGATGGTTAACTTGGGGATTGGATTTCAGTTCAAGAGCCTTTGACTCGTCCAGGTGTTAAACCTGACTAGAAGATGAGCATTTGCTCTTTAATTCGACTCCGCAACACGGGGGATATACAAATTTCAGCTTGCTAGAAGGTGATGTGAAAGTGAGAAAATGTCATGCAGTGCTATTCTTAAGAAACTGTATGAGCCGAAAATGGATGTGATTTTGACCATTCGCTTCAAAATAACAGCGGAAATCGAGATAACAAAACATATGTTTTGTGTCCTACTTTGCAGACGAGGACGTGTATCGGCGTTTTGAAAAGCATAATTATGTTCTTTCATTCATTAATTGCCATAGAATATGCGTTTACATTGTTTTTTCACTGTTAATAGCTCGGTTAATGCGGCTGGCGATCATCTTGCCGGCGGAAGTTTCATGGAAAAGGAATAAATTACGACTTTTCTTCATGATTACGTAATCAGTCTCTGTGGTGTAGTGGTTAGGTGTAGTCGCGTTGAGCCATAGGTGCAGGGTTCGAGTCCTACCGACTTCTATATTCCTTCTTTCTTTTTTTTTTTCCGTTTTTTGTGTTGTTGTTTTCTATAAAAATATAGCTAAATAACTGTTACTTAATAAAGTGCAAAAAACAGCAAGAAAAGTATTGTGTTTCCAGAGAAGATATCGTGCACCGTATATTAAATATATGGATAAACAATCTGAATTTCTATTATTTCCTACAATTTACTGTGGGAAAACCAGAGTTATAACCACTTGATCATTTTCTAAACAACGTACCCACGAGTTCTTTCTACAGACTGATAGTAATTATTCTAGTACTTTCCAACGTGTAAATAGGACATTCAATATCATTTTCGATTCTTTTAAGTCTCACTGCCTAACTAATGCCAGTATCAACAGAATGTGCCGCAGCATTACTATCTTTTAGATACCCTAGTTATTATTATTATTACCGGTAAACCAGAGTAGTTCATTGTGGCCCGCCACATTGACGCACGTGCCAGTTATCATGATCTGTGCACAAACTACCTTGGAGCTAAAGAAGCGCTTTCAAGTCATTAATTTTATCCAAGCTTTGTAAGCAAGAAATATTACATACAGTACATGTACATACCTAGCCTTTGGCATTTTACCTCGATAGAAGGCAGCCTATGATTTCGATACTGAAACTTATTTCTCGAAGCCTAGATGATGCCAAACTGATATGAGCTGTAATCATTTTTGCGATCAAAGAGGGATTTCAAGAAATTACTACCTGCAATAACCCGAGAAAATGCTTAATGCACCTATCAATGTAAATCCCGTTGGGGGGGGAGTGTGGGCAAGGGGCGGGGATTTGATGCCTGAGACTATCCAAATCCGTCACTCGGGGCTTTCTGAAAGTCACGCTGTTGGAGAAAGGTGTGAAGTTTTCATTTGTTTTAATCGCCATAATCCGATACTTTAAACTGTCATCTAAACAGATAATGTCTATTTTGAGAAAGTTTTTATTTTCAAGTTCCCATCTGATTGTAAAACTCGACTGAAATCGAATTCCACCATGAAAGTTCAGAGGATTTTTTACGGGTCACTGATCCGACCTGTTCCAACATGTTGGGCAGATGTTATAAAGCATTTTACGTTTCATTAATATAATAGCACGGTCAATCTTCCTAGAGTGATTTTGTTGTTCAAAATAAGAGATGCTAGTGGAGAGAGAAAATACTTAATTACAGCGAGTAATTTAACGGAGGTTACGTTAAGTAAGGACGTACTTTTGAAATGTTCTTTTAATTCGTTTTATACAGTATTATAGTATTGTTTGTTTAGATTTTTTCCCCTGGGGTGGGGACGTCTTTGACACTTTTGATTGACCTTTCGTTTCTCACCCAGGGGAATTTGATCAAAAAATTTTAAAATTTGTACAAATCCCCACCCCTTGCCTGCCTCCCCACTGGGTTTACATTGATAGGTGCATAATATTTTTAAATGCTTAATTCACGAGAATTTTGCCCTCGGCTCTGGCTCTATTAGGTTTGCCGACTTCACCCAGCCTGTTCCATTTTTTTTTTCTTAGGTCTAGCAATGGATGCTTTTAAAAACCAATTGCTTTTTTCTCCGTAAATACGCGTCCACACGTCATGCGTAGCGTAGAGTCCACTTTTGTTACGCATGCTCAGCGGGCGTAATACGAGTGGACTCGATGAATGACATCATCCTATCCGAAAACCTCGTTTTTCGTTCGTCCACAGGAAATCGATAAGACAGCGTTTTTGGTGCCTGAGAACGCCGTTTGCGTATGGGCAAATTAGGCTAAAAAAGCTCAATTGCCATGATAATTTTCTGTCAAAGTTTCGTCCTTATTCATATAAATATTTCAAGCAAAGAACATTGCATAATAGTTAGACAGTGTTATTGTCAACTTATTTTTAATTTCAACCTGTAAGCAAGTCTTTTTAAGTGTCATTTTGTAAGCACTGTAAAGACTGCAATAAAAAATACAGAGGAAAAAAACTTCTTTTGTATAGATATAAGCTTGTTGACTTTTTCAGTTGTCTATATGTGCCACAAAGGCAATCCTTGTTGATTTAAGTACGAACTTAACTTGACGCTAAATGCTGTAAGTCTGTACTTTTTCTCTCCATCTTGTTGATAATTGTGTTAAAGTTAGTGTTCTTTTTGAATAAATTTTCTTAAAAAAAAAAAGATAAGAAACTTACAAACGAGCAAAACGAGTCGATATAATATGTAATTGCTGACAACAGATGAATACTTTAACCACAACGCAAAATTGTTGTTGTGATTGTTATCAAAGTGGGTAAGTCAAAGTGGACTTAAATGAAAGTGAATTTTTCTGGCTCTAACATTAAGGTCAGTAAAGCAATGTATAATCTTGTTTTTTTTACTAATTTGCTCGATGCGTGGGCCGGGCTTTGGCGTGATTATGAATCATAAATTCATAAAGTTGAGATTATCCACGAAATCCTAAGAATCCGAAAAATTCAAAACAAAACTCTCATGAAATTGTATTGGAAATACATACGGAAATACATCAGGGAAACACATAAAAGATGGAACATTTTCCAAGATATTGGGATTTGTTTAGCCCAGATAAACGATGTGAAGTTTTCAACTTGGAAACTCAAAAGTTGGAACCGCGTTGAGGTCTGAATTTGTGAAAAGGAGTCAGGGTAAATCGTGGGGAAAGTTTGAATTCTCCGAGGTTGGGAAAACCAAAAAAGTCTTAAAATCCTACTGCTGTAACGTTATGAATTATACATTGCTTATTTGAATCACAAAATATAAATTGGTGAGAAGCTACAGGTGCCAAAGACCGCGATATTCAATGACGCTTCAATCCTTCGCGATGCTGACTTTCTGGCAGAAGCAGTGATTTCTTGTCAACTGAACCCATTCAGGAAGGTTTAAAAGGGTAAGTCCTAAGAATCAGGCAATTAATTACACAGTTTATAGGTGTCAAGTTTCAATTACCTGAAACTGCAAAGCTTGTAAACTTTTCACACGTCTATGCATGAACTGCTTACCTTTTTTATTGCCAACTTAAATATAGCGTTTGTTAATTGAAACAGGCTTTTTTAACAGGAGGCTTTTTTTGCAAAGGAGACAGAAATGGGGAAGACTTGTGTATCATTTAAAGAGTAATGTTTCTTCAAATCATTCAGAGAGTATTTTTGACTTCGAAACAAAGAAATCAATTAAAATTACATACATTCTCAAGAAACGGTAACAGGCCTCTGTCCATAAAAGGGCTCTGCACGAAAATCAGAATTTAAAAAGCCGTGCTGATACTCATATGCAGATCCAAGTTGCTGGGTTTGTATTAGAAATTAAATGACCGTGATTGATCCAGTTTAGTTTCTATTCCTTTTTTCTTCTACATTTAAGGAATTATACGTGGTTTACGAGTTTGCCAACAATTAAACTCACATTGCGGAGGAATGTCGTTAGTAAAATATCAACGCATGTAATTTGATAAGCATTTAGAGAAGCATGCAACACAGTAGAAAGGCAAAAGTACTGAGATTTGCTTATCGTTGTTTAGGCCAAGATTTTTAAATTGAAGAGAGATTTCAAAATAATTTGTGAGATAAATTTATTGTGGTTTTAACAAATTTATACACTGTAGATGAAGGTTTCATCAAATTTGTGGATACGTTGCCAAAACCATTGTTTTCACTCATTTTATGATTAATATTTTATACAGGAAGAACAACAGCCTTTAACATTTTTAGCAATTGTTCTTCTATTAAAATATTAGCTATCGGATCTTTAAGAGATTTATTTGATTAAAGAAGTAAAATGATCAATTTAAAGGGGATAGTCGGCCTATTAAATGTATGCAATTCCACAATTGGTTTCATTTCCATGAAATGACCAAGCTATCCATGCCACAATAAAGAGATGAAACTTCATTTAATTTCGAGATTCAAATCTCGATCTTAAAACAGTGCTTAATTCGATTCAGTTATAATTTTGTTTTAGCATCATATTGAGTCCTTTATATTCTCCTTATTAATGTCAAATTTGCGAAGCATAGATTGTGAGATCGTAAATATTAAAATCCATTCTCAAATGCGGCTGGTATGATAGTAAAATTAAATATTTTCAACTGATAACAAAGTGCAATAAAAAAGCGCCGTTGTTTATTATGGTGAGAAATATAAAAGATCGCTTGGGCTGCTGTCGCTAGAAAACTGTCAATTAGCCAAGTTTTGAGTATTCTCGATTATCCATTTTTAGTCTTGACTAGTTTTACAATGGAATAAGCAATGCAATCTCAATCAAGTTCACATAAACTCTGAGAAAGAAAACAGTTTAACTTACGATGTACAGTGAATTTGAATAGAACGCCGAAGTTGGCAACCAACACTCATATTATTACATAACATACTCCGTCTGCTTATTGTATGAAACGCACAGAAGTACTCAGTTCATTAATTTAGTATGTTATAATTGACTAAAACGAGTTCATTTTCCTAATGAACGAATATATTTCAAAATATTGAGATTATTGCGCAAGTCTAATCAAGCGCAGAAGTGGACAACAACACACTGTTAATATTCCAATCGACCAAAAGAGGGCCCCTATGATAAACAACTTATCTACTAAGTCCGCCAAAAATCCGGGAGTCACGCCCGGTAAAGTAAAGTATCGGTACTTCAAAATTGTCATGGCAGGTGTCATTATGATACAGGCATAAAGAAAGCCTGCGAACAGAGATGTTGTAGCGCGGATTATGAAGACATCACATTCGTCTGCACGACTCCATCGAAAGAAGGAGGAAATTGCCTTCCACAAAGTTGTCAGGCAAATGGCTAAAATAAGCAAAGTCAAGGCCTGGGAGCTTGGAGCTAAAAGCGTTTCAAGGTAGTCCACAGTTTTGCAATCTGGGTCCACTGAACACTGCCAACATATCAATCCACCAGTACCCCTTCTAAGAAGATAAAGTTCAATTGCAATAGTGGAACATGGAATGTCCTGCAAGAAGTTTGCTGCCAGAGTAAACACGATCTTTCCCTTAACCAAAATATCCCAATTCTCTTGCAGAAAATCGGCTGTCATAAGGGAAAACGCAATGGTTGAAACCCACAGTAGAAAGTGAAGACAGAAAATAATTGTCGCAACAATTGTAAAAGTCAAGTAGATTTCAACTGTGGTTCCATATTGGTCAAGCAGTTCGTTGGTTTTTTTGGTATCAAATGTTGCACTGGAGCAGAATTCCAAAGGCAAAACTGTAAGGTTTCTCCCTGCTGCTTTTTCAGTTGCGTTGTTAGATACCAGCAGCGAGGCAAATTCTTCATACGTTGCCGACGATTTTGAAGATTCAAAGTAGACGCCATAGTTACAGTAAATATCAAAACCTTGTAAAAGGAGAAATATTATAAATTCCACTACAATTCCCATGTTAAAGCCACCTGGAACAGCATTTTGGTTTTTCTGGACAACTTTTCTTGCCATTTTAAAAGACTGCGTTTCTCGCTCTCGAATAGATTGTAGTGATGATCACCATTCGTGCGCAAAATATTAGATTTAACCACCGCCCACAAAATGGCAACGCTTCGTTTTGATGCATTAAATAT